TTTTTCCGCTTGTTCTTTGTTCCAGGATCCCATATTACTTTTAGCTATGATTTCTCCTTAGCCTCTTCCAGTTACTGTTAACTCTGTCTTTTCTTGTCTTATATGACCTTTTTGCTTTTTGAATGCACTCACCTGTCACTTTGAAAAATGTCTTTCAGATTAGGTGTCTCTGGTGTGTTCTCACGACTGGAGTGAGGGGGCTACAGTGTGGCAGAATCCCACATAAGTGACAGGTCCTTATCAGTGTACCATATCAAGGAACTGTGATGTTCATCTGTCTTGTCACTGATGACACTGATCTTGGCACTTAGATACAGTGATTTATTCACTTATTCTTCTTTTGGAGTTAACAAATATACTCACACAGATACTTTGATACTGGACATCACAAAGGAAACTACTTTAAGAATTAAGACACACTAGCTTAAAAGTGAAAGGATGGAAGAAGGTATCCATGTTAACCAGATCAAAAGACAGCTGGAGTGGCTACATTAATGTCAGGCAAAGTAGAGTTCCAGTCAAAGAGTCTAGGGATAAAAAGGATCGTTTCATAGTGATAAAGGGATGAATTAGTCAAGAGCACATAATAATCTGAATGCAAGATTTCAAAACACATGAAGAAAAAACTGAAAGAACTGCAAGGAGAAACAGACAAATCTGCAGTCATGGTCAGAGATTTTAACACTTCTCTCTCAGTAATTAATAGAGCAAGTAGACAGTCATTAATAATATAGACTTCTTAAATAACACAATCATTGACATTAATAGGACTCTCGACTGAGCAACAGAATACACATTTGAGTGCACATGCAACAATTACCAATCATGTTCTGGGCCATAGAATGAGTCTCAATAAATTGGAAAGGTCATACAGAATAAGTCCTCTAACGACAATATATTAAGACTAATAATCAATAAAGAAAGATCTCTGGAAAATCCCCAAATATCTGGAAAATAAATAACATACTAATAAGCTCATAGACCAAAAGAGAAATCGAAAGAGAAATTATAGATTATTTTAAACTTAATGAAAACAAAAATACAGCATTTTTGGGATGCAGCTAAAGCTGAACTTAGAGGGAAATTTATAGTAATAAATGCCTATATTAGAAAAGAATAAAGTCACAAATCAGTGACCCCAGTTTCCACCTTAAGAACCAAAAAAAAAAAAAAAAAGAAGAAGAAGAAGAGAAAGTTAAATCCAAAGTAAGCAAAGAAATAATAAATAACAAACAGGTAGTCAATGGAAAAAAGTGCAACAATCAGCGGAACCAAAAACTAGTTCTTTGAGATCAATAAAATTGATAAACTTCTATACTGACTGATCAGTTAAAAAAAGAAAGAAAGAAAGAAGAAGCCACAAATTACCAATATCAGGAATGAGAGAGGTGGCATCACTTCACACTCTATAGATGTTGAAAGGATAGTAAGGGAATATATGAAATGGATACTTTCCTCAGTGATATAAGCTACTAACATTCAGTTAAGAAAAAAAAAAATCTCAGCAGCATTAAATAATTTAACCACACATAAAAATGGTAACACATCATGACCAAGTGGAATTTATCCCAGGAACGCAAGGTTGATTTAACATTTGAAAAATCAATTTATATAATCTCCCATTTTAACAGACCAAAAACCAAAAAAGATTCTCAATAGATGCAGTAAAATTAAATCCAACTTCCATTACTGATTAAAACTCTCAGCAAACAAGAGAAAGGATAGTCTTTTCAGCAATCAGTCCTGAAAAACTAATCATCCACATACACAGAAAAGAAACTTTGAATCACATCTCACACATTATACCCAAATTAACTCACAATAGACCAAATTAACTCAATGATAGACCCAAATACAAACCTCTAAGACTATAAAATACTTGTGAGTTTGGTTTAGGTAAAGATTTCTTACATATGACAACAAGAGTAGGACTCATAAAAGAATTGATAAATTATACTTCCTCAAAATGAAAAACTTCTCTGTGAAAAACCATTAAGAGAATGAAAAGACAATGCACAGATTCAGAGTAAATATTTACAAAACACAACTCTGATAAAGGACTTGTATCCAGAATATACAAAGAACTCTCAAAACTCTTACGAAAACAGCCCAGTTAAAAGCGAGTCAAAGAGTTAAATACTTCCTTACATAAGATGGAAAATAAACAGATGAGAAGGTGCTCAACATCATTAGCCACCAGGGAAATACAAATTAAAGCCACAATTCTGGATATCACTATACACACACTAGAATGTCTAAAATTAAAAAGACTGACCATACCAAGTCCTGGTGAGGATGGAGCGTACACTGTTGATGGAAATGTAAACCCGTGCAATCACTTGCAGGTTCTTTCAAAGTTTGACATATGGCTACCATTTGATCCAGCCACTCCACTCCTAGTTATTTGGCCAAGGGAAATAAAAGCACTTGTCCAAAGACTTGTACACGATGTTCAGATCAGCTTTATCTGTAAGAGCCCCAAACTGGAATGAACCCAAATGTTTATGAACAGATGAACGGATATACAAACTATGGCACATTCATGCAATGGGGTACTATCAAAGAAATACATATTGGTAAACCCATCGCACGGGTGAGTCCCAAAATAATTATGCTGAGTTAAAGAAGCTAGACAAAAAAGTACAAACTATGTGATTTCGTTTATATAAATTGTAGGAAATGCAGGCGAATCTGTAGTGACAGAGTAAATCAGTGCCTGCCTGGTGATGGGGGATGGAAGGGAGGGATGACCAAAGGAGAAACTAGGATATTTTCTGTGCTGATTGTGGTGATGTTTCAGGTGTATACAAATTTCAAAACGTCTCAAATGTAAATATGTGGCTTACTGTATATCAGTTACACCACAGCAAAGTTACTTAAAAAACCCCTGAAGATGTCTAAGTTCCACCTCAAATGCTCCCACCACATATTGTCTGCCCTTTTCAGGATGTCAACACGCATGGACCCAGAGACATTGGCTGGTGTAACGGGGACAGTGGGCAGGAAGGGCCCAGATGGGCGGAGATCTAACTCGACTCATCTCTTGGCTGTGGACCGGCAAGTGACGCTCAACGGGGGCTTAGCTCTGATCCAGGGTCTCTTAGGGCACCCAAGGCCGGGCTAGGAGATTTGCCCAGAGCGTGGGGCAGAAGCTGGATCATAGCCTTACTCTGCCCGTTGGCCCCGCCCACAGCCCCGCCCACAGCCGGCTCGCGGTCCCTGTGACCCACTTGCTCTCAGCACCA